TAAAAACAAATAATGATGTCCACAAGATAGATGTAAATAATTGACCGTACTTATTGACTAGGTAGCTGCCAGCATTTGTATCTCCCTTCCCACCTCTGTGTGTGTGCACTCACCGCTCATGGCAGCTCAGCTCAGAGCGTGGCTGCAGCTCTGCACTGTGCCAATGAGTTGGGTTTCACTTCACTCTTTGTCTCCAGCCAGTCGATGGGTGGATCATATCTTGCTTTGGGACATGCTGCTATGCTCCCCACCATTTCCCAGCTGTTCTCCCTTCCAGCACCTCACACAGCTCAGCCAACACAGAAACTCTTCTGTTCTTGCATCCCCACCGATGCTCTCAAGATGTCCCTACTCAAGTCTGGCTCTCTCCCAGCCCCAAGCTGTGATGAAGGCTTCATTTTTCATTTCCTTTCCAACTGACCAGGACATCTCTAGCTCTGTTCTCAATATAAAGTGCAATTACTGCGAACAATTTCATACCTACATACAACCTGTCATCACATTTCCCTTCTACTCGTGACACACTGTGATCTGAACCTAAAATATATACATTTCATTCCCAAAGCACAGTATATAGGATACTTCCATGAAGCCCTGTTCATTTTTGGAAATGCCTGTTTAGTTTTCCTCTAACATGGCACAAATGATGGCTTTATTGACTGGGTGATGTAGTGTGATATTTATCTCTCTGCCAAGCTCCAGTGAGGACAAGGCTCCTCTGGTCACTCAGCCAAGAGAAAGTGTGTATATTCTATCTCATGATATCTTCAAAGGAAGAATATATTCTGGGAGATATATTTTAATGGAATGTATTTTACTTTAGTCAAGCATAAGTTTTCTGAGTCAGAGAAAAGGTAACCGGATTCAATTTGATATTCTCTAATACAGCGGAGGTCTCTTTTAGGCTCAATCTATATGAAGAAACACATTTGGAGATAAAAAATAGAAGACCAAGCAGGGAAGCAGACAGATAAAACGTACTTTTTGTTCCCTGCTTTTTTATAATTTTCACTGCAATCAAATCATTTAATTCAGAGAAAATGATGGGGCAGATGAAAAATCCAGATGCCTCATCCTGCTGCAGAGGAGGTCTGGAAGCCCAGATGCCACCTTGGTCTCCTCAATGGCCTTGGCTTGGTCTGAGCAAGCAAAGGCAGCAGGGTATTGGATGTTAGAGAGGTCCCGCTCTCCACAGCTGCTACACATAGGGGTTATTTTAAGCTCTGAACACAATTTATCAAATAACATTTCTGAAGAATGGTACAATATGAGTCATATTTACTTCACATTTCACTTGCTGCAGGCTCTTACTATTGGCTGTGAGTTATTTATTACTTCTGAAGCTTGCTCTGTGAATCTCTGTGAATCTCCTTTCTGGGTCTGTATTTCACATTTAATGAGTGCTTTAGCAATTTCATGACTGTTCTCGAGTTGAGATGGCACTTTGTGCAGCCTCATGGTTTAGGGCCCATTTCAGACTTCACTGATTTCTGGCCATTACTATGTACATGAAACAACTCACAACCCAAAAATATTGCTTCCCTCCCATTCTGCTGTGTTTCAGACACTACTTTGAAAACACAGATTTTGTGGATGATGACAGGATCCATCTCACCTCAGCAGGACAATTTACTCCATGTGGCAGTGACTGAACTACATCATTAAGTCAGTGATGGTGCAGAGGGGGAATCCCTGGAGGTGCTTAAGGCCAGGTTAAATGGGGCCCTGGGCAGTCTGACGTGGTGGGGGGCAGCCAGCCCATGGCAGTAGGTTGGAAATGGATAGGCTTAAAGATCTCTTCCAGTCAAAGACATTCCATGATTCCACAGTTCCATGATATCAGACTCCAGTGCTTACAGCCTCCTTTGGTCAAAACTATGCAGGTACACTTGGGTAATTTAATTTATGACTTAGGAGGGCTGGATTCCTTGCCCATGCTCATATTGCAGCTTTTGAAGGCATGGCTCATATTGCCATTTTGAAGGCATTAGGCATTGGGGGTTGGACTCGATGATCTCTGGAGGTCCCTTCCAACCCCTACAATTCTGTGATTCTGTGATTCTGTGATTACAGGGTCTGCCATCAGACTATGCTGAAGTCTTCCATTGACTGGTTGTTGTATGGGCTTTGTCACACTTATCCAGGCTACACTTAGACAAGAAAGCTTCAGAGCTTAAGGAATACCAGTTGACCTCATCCTTGGAAGCTTCAGTCCTCAGGTTAAGAGGCTGTGAGCACATAGCCCATAGGTATGCTCTGTCTCAAGTATCTACAGGTCATTAAATTCACAGTGTTCCTTCAAAGTTTTGGATAGTTCGTGATCAGCATGCTTAAAAGCCTGATTAAAGTTCTGACTAGTAAGTCTGTCCTTTAAAAGGACACAACTTTCCTTCAAAAGCAAATCTTGGTCTCTGTGGGGCACTGAAGTCCCCTGGGGATTGGTCTGAGACCAAGGAACATACTTTTACAAGAGCAAGGAGTTGCTGCAAACCTCACTCCCCACTGTGCTAAGCGATGTGTCTGCAGTTTTGATCTTACTATTTTTTTGGTGATAGATACGTAGTGGCATATGCACTTGAAAACAACATGCTCTGCAAAAAAAACCCAACAAAACAAAACAAAAAAAAACCTCCAGACAAATTTCCCCTACTCCTTCCCAAAACAAAACTGAAATAAACAAACCAAAACCTCTATGGAAACAAAATACACCCCTGCACTTGCTCCTTTCTGCTGGGGAGAGAATGACGAAACAGATGTATAACAGAAGCTATTTATGTTGATTAATACATTACTGGGGAGATGCTGAGAGATTGCAGTGATAAGTTTAGAAGCAACTGTACAGCAAATGTATTGGAATAGAGCAGATCCCCACCTGCCCACCATGTCGTTGCACCGAGCATTCATTTCTAAGTGATGTGTCACAGGAATCCTGCACCAAGTTCGTGTGAAAAATACATGTGAAATACAGAGCGTGCTCAAAGCCTTTCTGTACAACAGCATCCTACGAAAATTCTCACCCTTCTGCTTCCTTCTTGCTTTCACATTTCACAGAAATATTCTACTCCACCTGCATCCATCACAAGGATCCATCATAGAGTGCTGGGACTTGCAGCAATTCCCATACCTTCAAATTCTCTTTCTTGCAAGTATTTGTCACCAGAAAGTGCTCTTTTCTCAAAAATAGATTCCAATAAAATTGTAATTTTCATTATCAAGACAATCATATAACATGAAGATAATGACACAATCGTTTTCATTTCCCATTTCAAAGCAAAATAAAACAATGCTTTGTAATGGTGATTCTAAGCATGTTGTTTAATGAGATAAAATCTTGTTATTTGGATGAAAACCACTGAAAACCAAACCCAACAAAACCCACAAAACCCAATGACTTTTTTATGAAAGATGTTTCAGAATTTGCTATTCCACAAAGTCCGAGCTTTTCACCTGTCTGCACTCCTCCTTGGAATTGCAACTGGCTGTAGAAATGTCCCCAGAGGAAGACATTCTCTTTCCTAAGAATAATGATGACATAAATAACAATGAGAATGAAAATGGCCATAACCTGATCCTAACACATGGGGCAGTGTTACAAGACACAGTTGAATAATAAAGTTGAATGAACGAAGTTGAATTTTCCTCAGCAGGGAAGACTTCCTGAATGCCCCTTCTGGACTTCGACTAATAAATGATCAGATGATAAAATATATTCATAAAAGCTGTCACTACCAAATTGCCTCACAAGATCTCATCTCCCTGCTATCTCAAGTTTATTAATACTTGGAGAAATTGACATCCAATGGCCAACAAGCTGGTGCTTGGCCTGCCCCTGCCATCACATGGGAGCAGTGCTGAGCTGCACGTCGTTATCTTTGCCCGTCAAAGGAGATGTGGCTCCTTTTCATCCCCTGATTTCTGATACTATCCCAGCATTTGGAAAATTAACTCCTATTGCCTGCATTCACTCAAAGCACAATGTTATCCTAGGCTCACCTCTGGTTCTGCCTCATATGAAGTTAGATAGGCCACAAGAAAAATCCCTCAGACATTAAAGATATTACTTACTGGATATACAACCTATGCCAATAAATAACAAAACCTATTATAACAGTTCTCACAGCTATTTTGTTCCTATGTTTTGAATTCTTTTCTTCTTGCTTTTGTATAACAAGATATGAAGGTTACTTGTATCTCAGGTTCCTTAATAAGCAAAAACTCTACCATAAGACCTTCAAAATGAAAGCATTTATTTCCAGGCCTTACAAATACACCTCTACTTGTGTCTCTATCACAAATTCGCATCTTCTGTATTTCATGCAGTTTTTCAGCCACCTTGTATTGTGCCTGCTTTTCCAAGAAAAACTACTTAAGAGAAATTTTAACAGTGAATACAGAGGACAAGCGATTCCCATCAGAAGACTCTTTAGGAACTCTTTGGACTTTGGATGCTATTGAATGTTCAAGCAGCAGAACTATTGACTGAAATGGGAACCAAAAGGAAAACTCTGTACTTCTCTGACCTTTCCAAAGGCCAATAATACTTAAAGCCACACAGTTCTCTACACAATTCTCTCCATAATTGTTCAACAATAGTTTGGCACAGACTATATAGCCTTTTATTAGGCATCTACTATATTATTTCTCCCTGCTTTACTGGAATTATATAGTTTCCCAAAAATGCTGAATGACCTTTTTCTAATAGCGACAAAGTAATGACTGACAAAAATTGATTGCAAATGGGTGGCTTTAGAAAATTGCCTGCATTTCTGTAAATTACCCCAGAAGATCTCAGTAGCATAAATTTAGAATGGTATTTTCTATGGTCCCAAGTTTAAGGCCCAAGTTCACAGCTGAGACCCGTGAACTCTTAGTCCCTTCTGAATTACAAACCAATGCAGAGAATACAGTACTGTTCAGGAAGGATGGTCAAAGAACCTGCTCAGCTCCAAAGCATACACAAAGATTAAATCACTTGAACTGGAATAAGGAAGATGACTTACCTTGGAGAAATATCACATCCTTGCTGCATAAAAGCTCCCAGGGAGAACCAGAGACTGTTGAATATCCCAAATTCATTCGTTTGATCGTTGGCCGGCTGGTCCCGTCCTTCCTCAAACTCCTCGGTGTGCCACTCATAAGGGCTGAAGCGACTCACCAAGAAGAGGACAACGCTCACTCCAATGTAGGCAAAAACAATGCACATCCATATTTCATAAGCCAAAGGGTCCAGAAAAGAGAACACTCCTGGTTTGGACTTCTGAGGCTTTTTTATCATGATAGAGATACCTAAGCTCATAAAAGGTTTGGAAAAGTCTATAACTTCTTCTCGAACCAGAGTGATGGTTAATGGTGCCACAGCAACATCAGCCCTCTGAAAAGGAGAGAAAGAAGAGTTGCATTCTGGGGATAAAGCATACCTACTAACTCCAGCTTATTTTACTTTGATCTCTGTTTAACCCTACTATCTGAAAAGTAATCAGACAAAACCAATTGCAGGAGAAATTGTTGAAAAGAAGCAGCCTATAACATTGGTTGATTATTTCCATTTTATCAATAGTGATCACTGGTTCTATTTTGAAATTTCCTTTTCCAGCCACCCAGCTCCAGTGTGATTTATCCACTGATGTCACAGTTTGATGCAGAAGATTTTGCTAAAAGAGCCTTATCATCCAGACATCAAAAGAGGTAAGGAAAGGCCAATCGCCTGAAAAAGGACACCAGGATGTTTACTTCCATCAGAAACCACTTTTTGGTGGCATAACTGATGCAGTAGAAGAAAAAGTTCCAATGACACTGATGTGCACTTTCCATTTATTTTATAATCAGTCTTGAAAATGGAAAGGGAAATGCACTGAAATGGTTGTCAGCATATCCCGTCGAGATCTCAGCAGGACTCAGATCATCCATTTCTCCAGCACGACAACAGACAGACTTGGGAACTGATGCTCCCTACGCTATGAAGGGTAAATTGCACCCCTCTGAAGAATGACTTGAAACACTGCAGATGGGGAATTATCAGAGCAAATCAGATCTAGAAGTGTAGGGTGAAGGGATATATTTGAGCAGATGGAAATGAGTGATTAGACCAAAAATGTCAGATTCACCAGACATTCAAGGTCAAGCTGGATGGGAATCCAAGCACCCTGATGGAGCTGTAGGTGTCCCTGCTTTTTGCAGGGGAACTGGACCGGATGATCTTTAAAGATCCCTTCCAACTCAAACAATTCTATGATTCTACAAATCTACACAGAGTTTTTGAAATCTTACCTTTCTTCCATCCTGTCATTATCAAGTAAGTATAAACTATAATAAAATTTGGAGATTCTACTCATGAGAAAGTTTAACCTTTCAATACTTGTTCTTCCAAAAATTGAAAGAAAAAATATTCCTGTAGCTACGGAAAAGAGAACACTTTGACATTTCTATGGGCACAAAATGTGCTGTACCATCCTGAATTAAAATGTTTCCTCTGGGCTGATTATATTATCTCAGCTGCAATCCTCAAAACAGCACAGGCTGATGGAAGGTGGGGATCCTTTTTACTATAGGGCCTGAGACTGTTCTCAAGACAACGAAAAAGGGGGAAACTCACCCCATAAACAAGTTCTCCCACCATGCCGTTCCATGTTTTGGTGTCGGGGTCCCGGGCTCCATACTTCCCATCTCTGACAATCTCCAGCCTGTAGTGGTAGCCAACATGCTTTGCAATCTCAGCAGCAAGCTCCACACAGTAGCCTTCATACCTTTCATTGCCTTCAAACTGGTTGGCATTCTTCTTGAGCATCACGTATGGGTCTTCCTGGCACAGAGGAGACCAATATTGAGCCACTCCACCTTCCCAGTGCTTTAGAGACTCAACATCTTTGCTTATGACCTGCTTGAAAAGCCCTAACTTTGTATGTATGTACCAAAGGGAACTGTCAACAAACAGTGGGTTAATTTAGGAAGTGCAATTAAAAATTATGCAAAAAACGTGTGCAGCTTCTGCATTTATAGACTTCAGGGCAATGGAGATGCCTGGAAGGATTTGGGTGACAAATCTTTAATTGTGGCTTGGTAAGGATTATTTAGTACCTTTCAGCTATGATTTTTTAAAGGAATGTCCGCCTGTGTGGGCACAGACAGAGACAAATCTGCTGGGCATGAGAGAGCCCTAAAGATGTTTAATTCAGTTTGGGTATTGTGTCCTCTTTGTAGGTTTACAGCAAGCATTCAGCAAACAAGTTAGTAAAATTTCATCTGTTTCTGCAGGGTGATGGTATACAATGACACACTACATGATACCATACATTATGGGATACTTATTGTTCCTTCATGATTATAGTGGGGATTTGTTTTTAAAGCTATGATTCAGTCTCTCTGCACAATACAGCTTATCCTTCCGAAAATTACAGCCCACATTCTGTGGGCTAAACACAAAGCACAGGTATAATGTTCCTAATTTACCTATGCTGATGCCTCTACTATCTTGTCATAATCTTTTGTATTTTCTATCCTTAAGCATGAGAGCTCTTTAATACCTACTTAATTAGCCACAGCAATTTTCAGATACCTTTATGGACCCGACAGGAAACAATAAGTGCTGTTATTATTATTGTTATTATTGTTATCGCTATTATAAAGATGATACAGTACAAAACAAGGTGTGCAAAGGGGAAGAGGCAGTCAGCACATCAGGGAGATGAGGGAGAATGAGAGCTGGGCTGGAAGTCGCAGCACTTACTAGGATCGTTGTGACTATGTACGTCCTGTTCTGGAGGCTCGTGGACTCGTTGCCGGTTTGAGTATCTATGGCTACTGGAACTAACTTTTCATCTTCGTTCCAATAACCAATCTGCCAAATACAAATCCAGGACAACTTATTGATATCTCCTTGTAATATTAATCAAGATATGTTAACAGGGTCATTCAAAAAGGGTCAGATCTCTCTGCAAGTTTGTACTCAGCCCAGTATCTCCCATCCTACTTCTTGATGTTTTTTGAGGGGAGAATCAGGATTTCTCCTGACCCACCATGCCTCCAGCCTGAGAATAATGTGTATGATTTACTACATTCTCTTTTATAAACATGCAAAACCAAATAGCACACAGCAGTAGATTATCGCAATTTCTGTCCAATCCCTACTGCAAGAGGTCACATTTTCCCTGTGTGACTTCTGTATACTTTTCTAACACGCCTGCTGCTTGTCCAGATGTGACAGGGTGATAAAATGCTGTTCTCCAGCTGGAAGCTTCTGTAAACATAGAACTGACTCTTAGTATATCTTAAGACAACAGAAGAAAAAAATCAAGTGAGAAAAGAAACAAAAACGATCCTGGTCAGTGCCAAAAGGTTTGAAGTTATGAATAAAAGCAAACAGAAGAATTTGTATGCTAAAATGTGCCTATTAATTAGGGTTTGGGCTGATCTGTCACTACTTGCACGTAAAGCAGCGTGCCAACGAGTATCAACAAGAAGATCATTGCTGAGATTTTCTTCTTCCAGGGCTTGATTTGATAAGGGGAATTCCATCACCTCATGTACATATGGTATTGCCTGAGCTTTGGTCAAGTGAAAGCAATTTATTATAACAGTAAATGGGAAAGGATATTAACACAGGGCATGAGCAGGAGTTGCTGATGGCAGATTACAAGCTGTAACAATAGAGGAAGAAAAAAACTCCACACAGGCGTCTCATCCGTCTTCATTGCACAGAGAAAAGGAGAAGAGAGTGAGGAAAAAGCTTCCAAAACTCTGCCCTGGGGCAACATAAATGGAGATGTATGGGTTTTTTCGCACTTTTATCCTGGATCTAAGATAAAGCATGCGTCCTGTCAGTTACGTGCCTTCTAAACAAATATTTCTGTCAGTAAATACACAGCAAAATCAAGACATTTAGCCATTCTGCTGCTTCTCCTCTGGATTCCCTCTGGACTGCTATCATCTTTCCTGAAGTTCACAGCCCCAAACTGGACATAGTATTACATTTATCCTCTCGTGAATGCCAGATAGAGGAGGAAGATCACTTTGAATGTCTTTATATTGATAATTCTTTTATTTTTCAGTGAGGAATTGGATTTTTTTTGGGGGGGGGGGCTGATGCAGCTGATTCCTGCTTGGATGTAGTGGGTTTTGGCCTGACATTGGCTGCTGCAGGCATAAGTGAGTATGGAGGATGGAAGCTGTACATGTGGGACTATCACTATTTGCAGTTTCCTTGGTTTCAAACACGTATTTTACACTTCAGGGGGCGAGGGGATGCAGAGGGGTTGCAGTGAACGCTCCATTCCAAATTATTTAGCAGATTTCCTTTATCCACAGAATAACTCTTTTCTTCAAATAGGCAATATCTAAAGCGGGACATAAGTGTATGGAGTCAGGCTGACAAATGGATCAGTGTTTCAAGGGCTCAATGCACCTGAAAATTCAGGTTTTACAGAGTGCCTGGAATACAGAAAGGTACAAAGACCTCAGAACAGTAGCAATACCTCAGTACACTATCAGAATCTTGTTAATTCTTGAGCAGAATTAAATCAAAATAAAGGGTTCCCTGGCACTGCTTAGGGCAGACAGGTTCCTCCTGATTCTGTCTTGGCTCATTTCTTAGAAATGAAAACCAGGAGTGCAAAAACCGACAGTTGTGTAGCTGAGCCTGAGCCAAAGTGTCCTGCCAATAGCAAGACTGTGTGGGCCAAGCTTTCCTTTCCTGGAAATCCCCGCTCCACAGCTAAGTTGCCCTTCTTACTCTTGATAACCCCTTCCATATGTTGCATTTTTTTAGTAATACACCGTGAGTTCTCTGTTGTGCTTGGCTTTGCTCATGCAGAGACCTAACTACACCATGAGAACAGAGAGTTGATGCCAGATGCAGGAGCTTTAGACGCTTTCTCCATTACCTTTCTGATCCCATCGTGTTTCATCTCAATCACATGGAGGGTGTAGTTGGTCCTCCGCCCCTTCTCATTAAACTGAACGTTGCCAGACAATCCTTCAAAACGGACCTTAAAGACATAAATATCAGTGAGAAGAGCACATAGATCAGCATCCCAAGCTCTTAACAAATCACGTCTCTTGAAACTCAGTGGTCCATCACTAAGCTCAGTGGTGCATCAGAGCCAGATTACGTGTGGGAGCCCATCATCTCTTGGGATGCAACAGGCAGCTAAGACAGCTCTGAATGCCTCAGGCTCTGTTTGTGTTGTCTAAATCTAAGTAGGGATCAAGACTTAGTAAAGAACTGGTCAGGCCAAATCAGGAACTGCACTTGCAGGAAATACGAAGCTGTGGACACTGCTCCCAGCTGTCGCCTTTTGAAAGAGAGGAGTCTATCAGTTAATTTACCTGCTTTAATTTAATTACCTGCTGTACCAGCCTGTTTAAATCTGACTATTCCATACCGTACATGACATTTACATAGGAAATTTTGAATCATAAGTCTCTGCTGATAACACTGCCATGAACCACATTCTATTTCCTTAGTTTTTCCTCTCAATGTGACTTGTTGCAAAAGTCCAGGAACCTGGGAAAAGGAGAACTCACATCCCTGGACTGGGGAAAAAAGATTTGTTCTCAGCCTTTCTTCTTGTTTTGGACAAATCTGTACTCTCTGCAATGGAATGCTTCCCACATGCAAAATGAGAATAAACATTGAATTGCCTTTTAAAGTGCCCTGAGAATCTTAGAATGAAAACTCTTTGTGAAGAAATGAGGATATATCATCACTATGGATGACATTAGCTGCTAATCTGCTTAAACTGTGTTTATTTTCCAGGTATTATCACAAAGGTTTGTCACGAAAACAAACATCTGCCATTGTTTTCTGAAGCTGCTTCAAGTCAAGAGGTTATATTTGGTGAAATTTGGAGAAAAGTGCTTTTCCCTACTCACAGAAAACAACATGCCCATAAAAGACACCTCGGTTGGAAATGCACCATTATCTTAAACACTCCATGCTTCCTTTGTTCCATGGCCCCTTTTACCTTTTCTGACTGACACTGAAGCTCAGTCACAGGTGCTCATGCTTTGTAGTTCCATATGCATTAAAAGCCAGGTGTACTAAAGGCAATTCTTTCTATCTGTAGGAAAAAAATCTTAATCCTATAATAGCCACGTAGCACTGACATAGCAAAAGGAGCCTCTCACAGCACAGCTGTTCTGTCATTTACCATCTTGAGACCCCTCTCAGTAGTCCTATTTTGTAGTTTCATCGACCAAAAGCATTCTGTCTTTACGGCTTTGTCACCGATCCAAGAATTTATTCTCTTTTTCATGAGAGAAAGTACCCCGCCCTCTGGATCATAACAAAATACAGTGAGGAATGATTTCAGCAGTGCTCAGTGCAAGTAAGTCAACCGGAGACATGGACAACTTAAACACACTTGTGTGTGAGATGCAGGCATGTGGTTCTCTGCAGGAAGAGAAGGATGCTTTTGTGGCCATCCAGTCTGTTGACTGGTAGGACCAGCTACCTGGTTATAAGCTTGGTTACTAAACAACATTAACAAAAAATACCTGTGAAAAATTACAATGATCTTCCTGAAGTATTGAGAGCTCAATGTGCTGGTTTAAAGCAATGCGTCGTGAGAATTCCATGGGAAGAAATACCCCTTACTTCTCTTTAATAAAAGCATGCATTTTGTGAAAATGTGTCAGATTTCTGTTTTTAAAAAACTGCAGAATGTTTCAAATTGTTTTTCTTTTTTGGTCCTGCTATCCTTGACTGCTTCCTACGCTAAAAAGAAATGAGGCAATTCAGGAGCTTATTCAAGACATTTCAGTCAAAATAAGTGGAGAAACTTTTTTTTTAACAGCTCTTAATGTTTCAGGCATTAGAAAATGGGAGGTGAGGAGGGAGAATGCTGTGAATATCTGTAACAATTGCTGTAATTGTAAGTCTTCACAGAAAGGATAACTCAAGCCTTCAATCTAATCTTAAGTTCTTTCCATTTCCATTTTCCTCTGTCTGAAATGGAGTCATTGCTAAAATACTAAATGCTGGAGGACCATTAAATTTGTAGTTAAAATTTCCTTTGAGAATTCCTTCCATCACTGCATGTTTCAGAACCTTTAATTTTGGCCATCACAACTGAACTGGCCAAACTTATTGAAAATTTTAATTTTTTTAAAGGTTAAGGAACAATTTTGGCAAATAGCTCTACGTGTTCTTCGACCCAAATCACAGCAGTTGAAAAGAGTTTTGAAATTGATTTAATGAAGAGATGAGAAAAAATCAGAGGTGATTATCAAGCACACACATAGAATTACCAAGACTAATTTTGATATCCTACTCTTGTAAATTCAATAATGAAAAACACTGGAGAGCCCCTTGCTCATCATATATCTTCCAAGTATTTAATGTTTATTAGGTAACTGATCTCCCTAATGCATCAAAAAGGCAGATTTTATTACAGGAGCTTGGAGAAGCTATGACAGTGATTTGCCCAAGGTCATACAGAAAGTCAATGACAGGCTTGGGAACATGTAAAATATAAGGATTAAAATCAATCTTAATGCAAGATTTGGTTTTAGAGGAATTTTTTTTTACCACCAAATCAAAATATGTGTAAAAAATTTACGTGAGATGAAAATTAGCCAGAATTATTTTGTTCTTCTTGCCTTAAGGAAAGAGGATGGGATAAGCTATATTTGGATAACACTGAACTAGCAGTATTTGCAAGCAAAGAATTCATCTATTTTTGAAACAAATGTAGCACAAACTATGAGTAAGAAAGTAGAGAATGTGTCTGAAAGAAGAAAAAATGTTAGAAATGAATGTCAGTTCTTAAATTTAAATAAGTATTGTAATGTTCTACCTATCCAAGTCTTTGAGAAGAGTGTATTATTCTTTTCCCTTGCTGTAAGTTAACATAAGTTTTTGTTTGTTTGTTTAAAAATCTAAAATTCTATGCAGGATGAAGAAACAGGATTTTCAAACTATTAAGGAATAAACTTTCTCAATAGCTGTTATTAAGGCTTCTCCCAGTCCTCACAGTATGAACCAAGCTCTAACATAGTCTTAAGGAACATTCTGATGTCAACCAATGCATATGGCAAAATCCATTTAGTTTCAAATGTCATTAGAAATCTGGAACAAAAGCTGAGTTCACAGAGCATTGAAGGAGCTTCAGAAAATGTGATCTAAACTGGTCTGTCTCTTGGAAAGATAAAAATAAGGACCCATGACTTTATAGGATAACATTTTGGCTTTTCCATCTAAGAACTCCAAAAGATCATGCTGGATGTCAACAGGAAAAGAAATTCACTGGGCTCAAGACCTAGCTCTTACCTGGAAGAATCAGTTTCTTAACCCAAGCAAATTATTTGGGCATTTCTGCTGCTAGCTGCCCCTCTTCCCCTACCCACAGGCTATGTATGGCCACCCCCACGGCACGCGCATCAGTTAGATTTTGAACCTGCTGCAATGCTCTCTGGATGTCAATTCCTTGTCCCCAGGGCACGGCCGGGTTGGCGAGGCAGTCCCCAGCATTGCCACGTCGGGAGATGTCGATCCGCTGCCTCCGCAGGTTCTGAAATGCCTCAGCCATCACCCGGACCCCATCGTACGTAAGGGCTGAAGTGTACTAGAGAGAGAAGACATTTGCCCATTAGCCTGAGTTGACCTCTGGTGTACTACACTGTTCTGTTCACTTTTCAGATTTTTTGTTTTGTTGTCACCCTTCCAGCTTTGGAGGATCCTTTGTGTGATCACTGATGTCTTGGTTACCTGTGGAAGTTGGTGCTTTCTCTTTCAGAGGAAAAGAGTGAGGCAGAAGCTCTTGATTCACCTTCTGCTGCCTTCAGATTGCACTCAGCCTTCAAAGCTACTCACTTGGTATCCAAATCTTTCTGTTTAATTAGAATCATTGACCTGAACTTTCAAGGAATGCATTATACAGTGTGAATGTGAGACTGAAAGATATGCTAAACCAAGTAACGAGTCACTTTTTCTTTCACAGATGGAGTCCAGAAAACTCTGTTGCAATGTGCAAAAAATCTGCAAAGGATGAGTTTATTCAAGCTGAAACTTGTGTAGAAAAGAGGTAAAACTCTGGTGTGAACAGCAACCGCTGCTTTAATTCCTTCTCCTGTGATTACCTATGGATTTATCTGTATGAACCTTTTTTAAAACTAATACTTCCAAGGTTGAAATTTCTAGTGCTGAGTGTTTGCCAAAAGTGTATTTGTTTTCAAATGGTAGATAGAAAAATAAAACCGCCTCTCCCCTCTGCCCTTGACACTTTCAAAATCTTCTGCTATGAGTTTGGAACAAATTAAAAAGCATTTGTCCTCTATTGTACCCACTGATTTGAAATGTTCAGAAACAACATCCAGAACAGCTGTATTATCACTGCGTGGGAGTGACTTGAAGTGGACCAGAAGGACCCTAAATTAAATGGTTTTCTATATCACTTACCTTTGGCCTCTTCCAGTCCACACGAGGAAGCTCCCTGGCATCGTTATTCCTCCACTGCTGCATGATCCTGGCAGGAACAGTATCTGTGTAATTCACCAACTGGAAGCCAGTGACGTTGGCTCCGCTCTCCCTGAATTTCGTCAGATCGATATCCATGAATCCCTGGTACAGGGCAGAAACAGGAGACACTCATCAGATGAACCATCTCTGTGTGGTTAACAGGAAACTTGTTTACCTATGGATTTGACAGTCAGCATAGGAGAAATCTCTTCCTTTGCAAAGTAAGGCCTGACGCTGAGAGGCTCCGCTCTCTGAACACAGGATGAAATTGTCTCTTAGGCAACAGAGGGACTTTGACATAGGCACTGGAGATACACTGCAAGCAGTGGGGAGAAGAGGATGCTGTTTGGCGTCCCAACTTTGGTATCCTCTCTTTAGCAGTACTGATATACAAAACTATTTGCTGTGTTCCCAAAGCAGGTGCTTGAGCAGAGCTTCTGTATCCATTTGCTCTCACACATATGATGTCACTGGGAGTTAAAAAAGCCAGGGCCATCCCTCCCACGAGACACTGGTCAGGTTCCCAAAATGGTGCTCACTCTGCACAGGCTTGGGGAGCTAATTAGCTCATTAATTTCCAAGGTCAGAATCAGGCCGTCAGATGGAAACCTGTTGTGAGAAAAAACAGCTTGCAAGGAAAAGACTAAATTGCCCTCTTACATCAGTGTCAGACCAAGAGAGTCGTAAGTGACTCAAAAATGTCTTTAAAGACTTTCGCAGCTTTTCTTCCGGCTTTTTGTAAGCAATTTAGCATCCGCTTACAGGCTGAGAATTGGATGGAGATGTACAGATGCTCTAACTAGATGATTTGTTTAGTTTCGAAGCGCAGTGATTTAGGTTAAAAAAAAAAAAAAAAGGGAAAAAGAAAAGAAACAGTGATGCTTCGTGAGTATGTATTTCTCAGAATGCTGGTTTAACCTACATCAATCTTGTATGTAATTGCCAGCGTAGCGGTTTCAGAAAGCCAGAGCTGTGATTAATGAATAGGAAATGCAGCACGGTAATTGTCTCTGACATTTTAATGCATTTCAGGCCAAGTGGTTTTTGACACACGGAGCTCCTAAGGTTCAGTAAGAGGGACCTCACAGGTTGCCAACTGGTTATTCATGGCCAGGACCAAATTGCACTGACATTTTGCTCCTGGGAGGCACTCAGGGGAAAAAGATCTGTCAAAAGAAACTACCACACAGCAACTTGAAGTGTGTGCCACCAGCTCCTCCTTGGAAGGCCCACAAAGGCACGAAGGAAGGTCCGAATTCATGACAGAATGTAGGATGTCCAGTGTCCTTAACCCATTCAACAAGCAGAAAGTTCAGAAAGGACTGTGACACCAAAGACAACGACAGCAGTGGTTGGAAACACTGCCTTTCACCATATTCCTCAAGCCCAGCCATTCTAAAACTGAGAGCATGCAGACCTCTAAAGATTTTCCAGTTGTTAAAGGAAGTTGGGGCTGTAGGGAATATCATTAACCTTGGATATGCCTTTGCGTTTTGAATGTTATTAACTGCTGAAAAAAACTGTTTTCACCTGTTATCCCTCCTCCACGTGCCCCAATACAAGGTCAGTACAGGACCTTGTACTAATTACAAAGGAATTTTAATTACTGCACCACTGAAGTCTGCTCAGAGCAGTTCTGAGTGACATGAGTGCAAATGAACTGGGAAATACCAGAGGTCAGATATTTTAGAAAGCAGTTCCTAGAAGAAGACAGTTCTTGCTGGCTAACATATAAACAAGAATATATTGAATTTTATACAGGCTGTCACTTGGAAATGTTTCGATTAGCAACGCAGCATCAGGAATTAAATACGCTTATCTGTCTTTCTGGAAGATCAGTCCGTGCTTGTAAGAATGATTAGAGCAGATGAATCACAATATTTGCAAGCAAAGAAGTCATCAATCACCTGATATCTTGTACTACCTACAACAACATATTGCAAAAAAAAAAAAAAAAGGACTTTTTATATAGTCTTCAACTGACCATACTTGGAAAATTGAAAACAAAAAAAAGATTGTCCAGGCTAACCCTCAGTGCACGAGAGAAAGAGCAGCTGTAGGATATAATCATCTAACCCAGTGTGACAAGTCATCACCCATTGCCTAACTGCAGAGCACAATGACACTACCTAAGCAGTAAATACAACATAACATCACTAATATTAATTAAGTATGGTTCAGTTCCACGTGAGGGCATCAGGGAGAGGATTCTGGGGAACCTGAAGGCTGCAGCAGCCCCACTCTGCCATCCCTGTGCCTGAACACTGTGTGTATGCTCGTATTGCATCCAGCCCTGGCCAGGGCAGTACAAATATTAATTATGCAATGCCTCACTGCAAGGAAGTTCTAAGGGAAAGAAGATATAAAGTGAATCATGCTTCCTTTACTCAGAAAGTCTATCTAACATCAGTAAGTGACTAAGGAGAGATTGCAGCCCACTGCTGTGGGGCAGCAGACATGCTTGCAGCAGTGTGGTTGGTATCGACCCATTTGGAAAAGAATCAGCACAGAAATGCTTCCCTTCACCATCAAATCAAATACAGCAAGAAGTGAAGAAAGCTGGAATGAGGTTTTCTATGGGACATTCTCAGCCAAAACATTTCCAAAAAATACTGTCAAAAGCTCTCTTTGCAGCCACGTATGGAGCATCGGGCTGGACAGAGAAATTACCTCACAACATGGAATCCACTGAAATGTGATTTCCTTTGGGATCTTTAAACCTGGACCACTTGGGACAAGTATCCATGGAACAAGCAGGTATGTGGCCTCTCCCTCTTACTCAGCACCGCTGGTGCTCTGGAGAGGAAAAGGAACCACAGAATCACAGGCAGAGGAATGCAGCAGTTCATGCCCAGTCAATGTGCTGTGCCCACAGCTGGGGCAAGCAGGCAGAGCAGCATCCAGGGGAACACAGAGCTCTCCAGGCTCCCCATGGGCACTCGAGGGAGACAACATTCCTGCAAGCACAGTTTTCTTTGGGACCATTGAAACTACACTGGAAGGGATGCAGCAGCAGCAAGCTCACCCCTGCCCTCCAGCAGCCTTAGCTGTCCCTTCTATTTAAATTCGCTTTGCAAAGTCATCTCTGTAAATCAGAGAGCGTGGCCTTCTGCCTTGTGTGTGCTGGGAAAATGCCCAGCTTTCTCTGCACGCTATCAAATCAGGAGTCTGACAATAAACCACAAGAATCTGGACCTGTCCACACTGACAGCACCTTCCTCCACGCCTGCTCTGATTCACAGCATCTGCAGCGCAGCTCACGCAGCAGCCAGGCTCGGTTCAATGCAGGGAAGTTGCTCTTTAGCCCATGCTATGAACTGTTCTCTCTGCATTAATGAACCTCACAAAGCAATTGCAAGGAAGAGCCCTGCTGTTAGTAAATAACATAGGCAGCTGGTAAAGACCTTCAAGTCTTCAAATAGAAAACAGCAGTGCTGGAAAGCATTCTTTCCTTGTGTTGTTTTCCTTGCTTCGTCTGTTCTTTATGCTGTGCTTAAACTGAGACCATTTTTCAGCCAAAGGTTGTTTTACTGTCCCATTCACTGCTTTGCTTCCTGGGAGAGATGTCAGCAAGTCACACATTTATATTCCTCTCCACTGTGTGTGAGCTCAGTCATCAAAGGAAATGCATAATGCAGGAAGACTGATGACTTGAAATGTGTCTCATGAATCCATCTTGATTAACTGGTCCAGGAAGGATCTGCCTTAAAAAGAAAGTCCTCAGAAATTATCCAGGTCCTTATTTATACCCTGAGCATCACCAGGAGCTTGGGCAGTGAGTGGGCAGCACAGATTGCTGTCAGACAGTGGAGGAAAGGCTCCCACCTGCATGACTGCCCTCCTCAGGCCTGTCAGCATATCCAGTTCTCTGCACATCATCTTTCTCCTTCTCTTTTCTCTTCTTTGCTTTTTCTTTTCTCTTCTGCTCTCTCTCTCTTTTTTTTTTTTTTTTTTTTTTTTTTTTTTTACCTGTCACACTTGAATCCTACACTGAATTATCCCTCCTTAAGCAAAAACTGTTCAAACAATTCATCCAAACTCACCTGGAAATGTGAGACAGCAATGAAAAACTGGCCCAGTTCTCTTTAGATGCAATCCCTGCATGGTCTACAACGCCAGACTGCCTCCTGCTACCGGACTTTATAAGGAACACTTGCAAAAAGAAAACAACAGCTTCTGAATGACTGTGGATCAGCCAAGAGAATGCAAAGTGGCTCCTGTCATTCCAAGGTATGCTGGTGTCATTCTACAGGGAGCAGGAAGTCAAGCATTTTCAGATGGAGCTTCTCTAATCTACCAAATTATCTTCAAGTTTGACTTGTCCAATAAAGTATCATTCCTCACTCCCATCAATTTGTATTAATAAGGAGGGTACATCAGAAAAGAGCCCAGCTGCTTCAGTTTCATTCCAGCATGCCTTCAACAGAGAGGGAGAGGACTTCTCTTATGCAAAATTACGAATATGTCAAATTTCGTTGTAGCAGTAAAACATGAGAATCCTCCCTATAACATGGAGGCAAAGAAGAAAGGGCAAATAGTGATGGGAGGATGGGGCAGTGCCAGACAGGGCTTCAGTTCTGAAGCCTGGTACCCACTTTGTGGGTACAAGTGAATGTGCAGATCTTGCTGGAAAGCTCAGTCCAGCCACTTTTTGCAAACATTTGCTCTTTAGAGAACTTTCAGAGCAGCAACTGATTTAAAGGCTTGGGAAACGTGCCATGTAGTGACAGATTCCAGGGCTTCAGTCAAAGATATGATTAAGGGTTGACCTGATCACAGTTTACAAGGACCAAAACTTCAGTAATGGAATATCTAGTCCAACAAACAGAAGCATAAATCTGATGGAGGAAGGCGAAGCTAGGCAAGTTCAGACCAGAAATAAGCATCAATGAAGTCACCAAGAGGAAACTGTTGTGGATTTACATGTCACCTCTTGCAAGCTGAGCTGGGTAATGGATTAGATGACAGCAAACCTCTTAGTTTAACAACTTTTCTCTTCCTTGATTTAAGCAAACACATCCTTATTTCTAACAGCTGTAGTATATCCGTTTATTACTCACTTGATACTCAGTGATTTTTTTAAGCTGCTGTAAGTCACCTGTGCTTTTGAGCCTTTAGCTGCTGCAAAAATCCTTCCAAAGGCTGCAGCTCATATTGTCCTTTGTGGCCAATTTTTATATCAAAAAACTAGACAATTTTCTGTTACATGAGACAGTCTAATTCAAACAAAAATTAATTCAGGGCTCCTGTGTCTTCCACTATCAATAACTTAGATGAGATGATGTTACTGGAGTTTCTTCTGTTTAGTAACGTCGGATAGGAACAGAAAAATCTGATTGGAAGTGAAACTGGAAAACCAAGTTTTTTGGTGAGTCTACCTGCATCACAGTCTAACTGGTACAACTTTAGAGACTTAAAAATAACTTAGGACATCTCTTTCCAACATTAGAATAGCAGTTTCGCAAGCCCAGGCATCCTGAGATCTGACCAGCACAAAACGCTGGTGCTGTATGCATCCTTCCAACTCCCACGAAACACTTTCAGATCGGTTACTGATGCAAACCTGAGCACTGCTGACCTCAGTTGCACCTTCAACCACTTTTTTGGAGGTAAAAAAAATTGACATGCAGAGGCACAGTGAAATCAGAGGGGACACAAAGCAAAGAAGCAGGCTTTGCCTAGCTCCCACACAGGGCTCTCTGCTGTCAAAGCTGCTGTGTTGGTGCCCTTCAAATCCATCGGTGCTATTTGCAAAGTGAAACACAGCTCATGGCTGGACTCAGCACTCACATATAATAAATATAAAATGGCATAGGAAAAAGTGCTTACCTCTACTAATCACCTCTGTTCGTATCTTTACTCTTCTTTGCTACCCCTTGCATCAGCAATCTCATGCGCTTATCTATCCAACTTCAAAGAAGAGCATTTGCTAAAAGAAGAACCTGGACTAATGTGCCAGGAAAAAGAAAGGCTCAAACACTGTGTGGCAGCTGTCCTTAATTCTTCTCTTTTAAAGACAGGTCACACAAAGGTCACTTATTTTAAGACAAAAATTTTCCTCTGCCCATGGGAGCCAATGTTCTCCCACTACAGGCAGTAGTCAGCCCACCTCCCTGGCACAGGATAAACAGAGACATGAAGGCAAGGTCATGGTGAAAGAGTCTGTAACATCAAAAGAAAGAAACCCAAGAAGTTTCTAAGCTTGCTGCTCTGACAGTATTGACTGTATTTTTTTCTCTTTGTGCTTGTTAGACAGTGCTTTCAAAAGCTGAGAACAAAGCTTAGGAAAATACGACCCATGAAAACAAACACATCTTTAAGTTGCCAAACCCCTTTGACTTGTAAAAAGAAGAAATACAAAGAGGTGAAAAGAGAGAGAGATGAATGCAACCAGCCTGTGCTGATACACCTGACAAATAACCAGCTGGTGAATGCTGATGGTATCTCCTGGGTACTGGCTGAGTAACTCTGGTTTTCATGAGTTTGCAAAAATGGTGGATAGAGGCAGATTTGCCCCAAGGAAAGGCAGGAATGTTCACATGAATGCTCCCTTAGCAGCAATGTCAGAGGCAGATCTTCACGGGATGGGCAGAGCTGAGCAGGATGGCTGTGTCTTTGAGCAGACACAGAGAAGGATGTTCGCCCATGGCCTAAGGTGCAGAATGGTTTCATTTTGTTTGTGAACACAGAAATATTATTGTCTCACCTCGGCAACAGCAATTTCACTGAAAAAAAAAAAAAAAAAGGAAGCTGTTCCTGCTGGGAAATGCTAGCTTTCATTTGCTGTTACTTGTCAAATTTTGCCTGGTCTTTACTACAGCTTACTCGACAGCAACCGCTGGGCAAACAAGCAGTGATTAATGCAAGCCAGTTCCTCTTTGTTCATAAATTGTCTCTGACCAGACAGGGAATCTCTCCATCCTCTGATACTCCCATGAATGATTTCTGCATTTCCTTACAAACTCACTTGCTTAGTGCTCCTGAAGGGACACCAATTTGGACTGGCAGTAATGGGACAGTAGTGTGCTGCTTCTGACTGCCTGGTTTCATATAGTTCTGAATGAAAATATTGCCAACAGTAAGATTTTCAGGGGGAGTTATCCATAAACATTTCCCAATGTTTGTTTCTAACATGTCATTTCCATCATTATTTCCCCATATGGAAGGACTCAGGAAGGTTAGGCAGTGCAGCAAAACAGCTGAGGGTTCATCTGACTTATGCAGGGTCACTAGCTGAGAGTCTAACCTTCATACAGGATGAAAGTCCTAGAATTAGGACTCCATCCACCAGTGCAGAGGACAGGGAATAGTCCATTTGGAAATATTCAGGCCTTTGCAGTTTTCAGCTGTTAATTTATTCTATTATCTTAACACCCAGCACTTCCACAAAACCAGGCTGTCTTCTCCATGTTCATGTGTGCATGTGGGAATGTGTGTGTGGGCAACGTACACCCCATCCTCTAAGAACCTGACTACAGGGGGGGAAGTACGAGGTGTCTGAGGTCTATCCCTAAGTGTGTGAGTCACTGTGGATAAATCACAGCTTTCTACACCCTCTGAAGGTTCTAATGCAGCAATGAGATGTCCTTAGAAGAGGGTAAATGTTGTCAAGATCTCTTGGATTTGACAAAAACACGCTGTGGTTTAACTCTCCCAGACGGTGACTCCTCACGTTCTGCCAATCACATGTAACATCCCTGGTCATCTCCTCATGAGGAGGGCTGCTGCCCTGCCTCATCACTCAGGGGATCATCACAGCCTTTCTGCCACCCTCTCTGCAGACCCAAGTGGTGAGCAGCTCTGTGGTGGCTGCAGCACACTGCAGGCACTGACTCGGCTCTACTGCCTGAACCTGCCCCCGTGCTAAACCACAAAACTTGCTCCATCCTTGAAAGGGTCTTTTCCATCTGGAGAAGCACAGTCAATAGCAGCGCCCTTTGGGGCCCCTTGTCATCACAGAGACCCAGAGCAGCCCCCGCAGAGCTGTGTCTGGGAGGCAGCATCACTATGAAGGGCCTGGAGAAATGAACAGCCTTTTGCTCTGAGTTAATTATTTATAACCTATGCTGGCTGAGTATGCAGCCTTCTTCTAGCCTCTGTCCTCTCAGCATCTGTGCAAGGGCTAAGGAAACAAATTAAAGATTGGACAAGTCTGCTTTCTCAGACTGAAAGTGGGAGACAGCGGTACTCTAAGTCAGAGGGAAGTGCCCTTCCTGACTTCATCACCTGAGTATCAGACCACCTCATGCTTTTAACATATTTATCCCTATGAAACCACGCAGAGAGAAGAGGTGACATCATTCTCATTACCCATCTGCATGCGTATGCACAAAAGCACACAGACAGCAGCAACTTTGGAGAGTGTCCTTGCTTAACTTTAATGAAAGGACTTTCGTAAACATCTGAGTGCCAGGACGGGGGTTGCAGAAATTAGCACCTGGAGTTACAGGCAGCTCTCCAGTTTGCACGTCTCCCCTGCACCATGTAACATTTTTAAGATTGTAATTACATGGTAGGCACTCAGCTCAGAAGTGCAGGGTCAGTATAAGGGCATTGCAGGGTAATTATGTGTCCATTTTTGTCTTGTAAATTACAGAGTTATCTTGGGGCTGAGAGAAGGAGAACAGCAGCAACTGCTTGACTAATTAGTAGTTAAAAGTTTAATTATCCCAGCCCTGATGTGGAGCCTCTCAGATGCAGCTGCAGGAGGAAAGAACAGCTCCAGACTGCATGTGGACACCATGCCCTGCAGACATGGTACAGGTGGGACCTGGCCTGGGGAGAGAACACCCCACAGATCCCTGGCTCTTGGAGAGCAGGACCAGCCCCTGAATGTCCTCCTGGATGGAAAGGGCAGGAGCTGGACTGCAGAAGTCCTCCAACTGCTCTATGGACTGTGGCTATTCCTCTTATTTCTTTCCAACCCTCCATAAGCAGAAACAATTTCCAGCCTCCTAGGAAAAGACAGCATACTGCTCCAGAATTATGGCTTTGCTGCACAGCACAGCTCTGCTTTCAGGCAATGCCTTGGCAGCAAAGGAACAACACATTCCTTAAGGAAATCCTTAAATCCAATGGTTTCCTTAGAACCATGACAGACAGATTTGATTTAGCACAAAGCTGCAGAATAGTCGTTGTAATGGACCAACAAAAAACACAGGACATGACAGTCACATATTTTCTGTTTACTGGAAGGTCAGAGGGATCTTGCTACATCATCATTAAAAGTATGGGGCTCTCACAGTGGCTGTGAAACACTTCACCTGAGGTACAGGGGACATCACCAAAAAGAAGTTGAAAGCAGCTAGAAAACCAAACTTGTTACCAATAGTGAACAGTTTCTTGGTGGCCCAACTGAAATGAGCTAGAAGAGCAATGCCAGAAGCTCAGGTGCTCACACCATGCAAAAAGTCATTATCACAACAGGCATTAATTGACAGTTGGCTTAATAGGCTTTGAGAAGACATAGATTGAATCTGGAGGCAAAAAAGCCTAGCAACACTGGAGATGCCCCAGAAATAGTCTTACTGGATTAAGACAGAAAACACCACAAGCAGCATACCACAAAGGGCTTTGATAATTCTACCCAAAAGGTGAGTTAAAATGACTTCCAACTCAGTAACTATAAATATTGTGCTTTGCAGTACATAAGATAACAATGAAAACATCTAGGAGGGGAAGTAAAATAAGCAGTACTCAACTCACCATGTTTGCCAAAATGTAGTGGTACCCGTTCCCATTTTTTTCAAGCTTGATGATCTGCAAGAGGGAAACCAAGGATATTTAGCAGAGGCCAACTAAGGAAGTAGGGCTTCATTTATCTCCCTTTTCGACCATTTTAAATTTCCAATGGTACTGTTCAAAGGTGAACAGGAAGATAAAGCAAAATTCACAGTCTTTTTAGAGGAAGGACAGATCTTTTGTACATGACATCAGAGAAACAAGCCTGAAATTAAGACTGTATAAGATTTCCAAGTAGATTCTATAGGCAAGGAGAGTAAATTATCTGAACCAACCTGTTTTCTACAGGCTCACAGAAAAGAAAAGCAGAAAAGAAAAAAAAGATTAAACAATATATTTCAAACACAGGAACAAAGTGGAACGCTGGAGCTCATTTGTCCTGTGAGCACAGCTGAAATACGGAGCAAGACTAAAAGAGTTATTTTGCACATTCATTGGCCTATAGTCCCTGCTGCAGACACGTAACTGGGCGAGATATCAGGAGGTTTAAGCTATATTAGAGCAGCTGTTCTCCTTCAGTGCGCTGGGGCAGCTTCAAACCACATCTCCAGAACAAAGCAGCCTGAGCAAGTTGCTCAGCAGAGGATTCCCCCTGCATGTTCATTGAGATTATTTATAACCTCATACTCACGGTGTTGCAGCATATGCTCTTTGCCACACTTCATTCTCCCTGATGCCAACAGAGTTAGATTTTTTTTTCTCTCTCTCTTTTATCACACAACTGCTTAGAGATCTGTAATGTCTGAAAGTTTCTTTGGTACTGAGAAAGTTCCCATGTCTAGGTAGAAAGGCAACATCTGTATAAGGTTGCCTGTGATTACGGGGCAGGGAGTCACAGACTAGACAGCCCCCAAATCACATTCTGTGTTTCCATTGGAATTGCTCCCTACTGATTTCCAGTTGCACTGTTAAATTCTTACCTGATCATTAGAAGCAGGTATCATCTGTTCTTATCCAATCCATGTCCTCAAAACTCATAAAAACCTTAAAACAACACCACCACCTAAGAATTACCTGTTTCTGATGGAATTTCACTGTTTCCATAATGTTTCCTTGCTGGCACCATTATCCCTTTATTTCTATTGCCACATAAATCGATTCTGAACTCTGCCTGCACTGCCAGTGCTGAGGCAAAGTCTGCAGGAATGGTAGTGAGGTGAGGCCAGAAAGATCCTTATTGCCATAACAGTGACTGAAGGACTGCCATGCTGGATTGAACCAGAGATCAGTCTGCCCAGGATTCCTCCCTGATACCAGTTTGGTAGCAGGTGTTTGGGAAGCACTAAAGACCAGGACTTGCATGTGTGAAGTGATCCTTCCCATAGGACTGCATTCCAAGATTACTGTGAGCAGGAATTAAAGGATCTCTGAATGGATTATAAATGAGCTGACTCTCTGTGCAACTGAGTCATCTGCCTTAGCCTTTCTCTGATGAAGTGCTCTTGTATGTGCATTAAAACTCTGGATCCCAGTGTTAATGTACAGGTTGCAATTAACTCCAATGAAGACTTCCTTTAGTATCTTACATGACTACTCTCAGCTCCACCACTGGAGGTGGTTTCACTGTCCTGTGGTTCTCCCCATAGGTTGCCTCAGAATGGCTACTGTGGAGGAGTTTGGAGCACTGAGAAAATAAAATAAAACAACCCTCTTTATACCTAAGGCTACAAGATATGTGCTTCTGTTATTGGTAGTTTTCCATTGGAGCGTGTTCGACTGCCAAATCTGAGAAGCAAAACCAGGCCCAACTTGTCCTCTCCATTTATCTACTGTGAACTCATGGGAGAAAGCAGCATCTCTGGGGTACTTGGATGCCTAAGAATTATGATCCAATTCCCTGTTTCTCCAGTGTCAACAATAGATGGCATTGGCTCCTTCTGCCCAAACTCTCCCTTTATTATTTCATTAGGTGTCAGAGTCAATGAACCCAAGAGGGCTGTTGCCCAGCCTTCCCTAAGCTGTTAATCTTGCAGTCCATCCACCTGAATTATGAGGCTTGCTTCCTGTGCTTTACACGGTTATTTGTGATCTTAATTTATTTTAAAATGCTTGCTCAGTCCTAATGTGTCTGGACGGTGGTAGCAAGCTGAGGTTATAATAGCATTTATCACTTAGGCTGAATGTGGTGAGAGGCTGTGCTGGGCTGCATGCTGATAGCTCACTTGGGCCACCTAGGTTTCATTGCCCACTTCTTAATGGGCCAGTTTGATATCTATTAGAGAGAAATCCTCTCAGAGTGAAACAGTAGCAAAGGAGAAACTCCAGTTATTCATTTTAATGAGTGACAGGGAAGAAACAATATAGTGCATTGATATAATGCAACCCTCTGCTTATTTATCCCATTAAGGCTACACGGTGCAGCCCCATGATATCCCACCCAGAACTGAAGCCTGGCTCATGAGCCAGCAAAGATAAATCATACCCACGAGACCTGGGCACGGAGGAGAATGAAATCAGGTCATTTTCCATGAATGCTCTGAGTGCTGCCTCCTTCTGCAGCTGTAATCTCAGGGCACGAGGAGCACCATGCTGGAGTCAGTGGTGGCTCTTTGTGTTTTGTGCGTGTGGTGTGGAAAAGAAACTAAATGTGTGTGCATATGTCAGGGACTGAATAGGCAGCGCAAGCTCTTCTGCTCACTGGGGAATGCAAATCCACACCCAGAGAAAGCCAGGGACAGGAAAAAGGATAAATGCATCAAACCATCCCTGAGAGGCTGAGGCAGCTCTCTGAACACCTCAGAATCTCTGAGAGACTGGGCAAACAGATCAGGGACAGACACACAGACGTGCTGGTGCATTGAGCTGGGAGAACAGAACATGAACTCTGTCCCTCTTTGGTCATCACTGTGTTGTGAAAGATCAGACAACCACTGCTTATACTGGTGTGGCTACATCTGCTCCAGAAATCCCTGTGGACTCAGCACAAGAAGTCTAACAAGGATATAAATGAATCACACAAGGTAAAAGCAACTTACAGCAGCCCTGTCCCTAGCAGAGATACCCCTGGGCACAACAATGTTGGAATTGCTCTTTCACTTATAAAAGCATAACATCATCTAGTTTACCTGGAAATATCTGTTTTTAATGGCATTATAGTTTTTTTAGGTTTTTTTTGCTTCGGGTTTTTGTTTTTTTTTTTTTGTTTTTTTTTTTTTTTAGTGTTCTTGCAAATAACTTGAGTTTAGATGTAGATTTAGCTCTTGCTCCTGTTACGTGAAGAAATTTGAAATGCAGACTTCTTTTCCCATTCACATTGGGCAAACTAGATGATGTCTGTCCGCAGGACTTAGCTTTCCATTGGACAAATTGCATTTAAAGAGACAACATCATTAACCCTAGAAATCTGATATACCCTACAGGAAAGCTTGCAAAAAAAAAAGGCAAATTCACTGCCTATCTCCTTTGATCAATTACACCTGCTCCATGGTCAGGGGGAATACTTTGCCCAAAGAATCACCTGGTCCCTCTTTGGTGTGACCTTTACTTTGAGGTTAAAACCTGTTTTGTTATGATTTATACTTAGTAGCACTCAGAGACATCCAAGAAGGATGGATTGTGCTCATTGCTGAGCTGTGCAGCTGATGACATGGCAGTCCCTGCTCCAGACAGCGAGCAGCTGAAGTGTGAGACGGGAGATGACAGGTAGCTTAGACAGAGCGACGTGTGAAGCACGAGGGAAGTGAGCTGGTTGTAAGAGGTATGACAGACAGCAGGAGACACGTCGTGCCTGCTGCTTGGCACTGCTGAGCCCTTCCTAAACCTTGTGGAATGGGATTTGCAGCAGTGGGAATGGGATTTGCAGCTGTAGGTGGGGAAAGGCACCCAATCAGAGCTGCTGAGTCCTCTGCTACGTACCCTGTCTAGGATTGTTTGGGCAACATTCTCAAAGGGTTGGAATATTGGCTGGTCCTGTTTGAAGCCAGCTCCATGATCCCTGTGGTCCCTGTGGTATTCAATTCAGGATAGTCTATGATTCTACCATGATGGGATGTGGGAATGCCAGATCCTGCATACACGGAGTCTGGAGAACCCAGAGTCTGGCAGTGTCAGTTCACACTTCCACTTCAATTCACAAGGATTGGGAAAACCTGAGAAAACTCAGCAGGATAACAAAGTGCCACGTCCCATGTTCACTGCTTGGAGCAGTTAGCACAAAACAAACTCGCTGGGGAAGTAAGGGGGTTACAGTGCTCAGAACATGAATCAGAAAAGTAGGGGACATGGAGCTCCCAGTACTTCTATGGCTTTACGCTTTCCTAAACAGCACAAAGGAGAAATACCTGCAATGCACACACATCAAATCCATGACGAACTGTGACACAGATCGCATCAGAATGGGAAGAAAAACAACTCTAAGAGAAACAACCCTCCCCATTCTGCATGCAAGCACCTCCCAGGAGACCCACGCTGATACAACCTTGCTAAGGATGATGTTCAGCCGCTCGGATTCACAGTCCACCACCACCAGTCTCTCCTTCTTCTTCTGCAGCTCCTGGAACAGCATGCGGTAGCCCTCTTCTGTTGTTGTCAGGATGTTGACAGCTGTCACCTGCCAGTTCTTCTCGGCTGCAGTGTCCAGCACTTTCTGTAGGACTGACAGCCCTGTGATGGGAAGAGAGCGGGACATTAGAGGGAGAACCAAGACATAGCTGTGCAGCAGAATTTTTTGCCCTGATAGCCTGTGTAACCGTCCTGAGCTGGGCTGGATACAACAATGCAAGAGCTCAGAAGAACCGCAGTAGCCAGATAATAATCTAGTATTTTAGTCACACACAGCTGGGCTAGAATTAATGATTTCTGCCTTTTCTGCACAGGAAGACAGGATGATTCTGGGACTAGTTTTTCTTTGTCATCAACAGATCAGTCCTGTTGGTCAGGCCCTGCTGTGGGATTCAGATAAGAGCTCTAATCCTGTCTTATTCTTCGTTACTACCCAAATCTTTTCATTTCTCTGGGCCACAGCTCTTTCCTCACCTCTGATCTGTTTAGGCTCTATGCTCCTAGGGTTAGGGACTCCCTCAGCAGTCACAATACATCATCATATTTAGTATCCCTGTCTCTCCTTGTGGTGCCTGATCAGAAAATTTCATGATTTTTTAAAGGATCTTGCCTAAGTTACATGCACAGCCTTCCAGAAGAGGCACACACAGTCAGCACTGCTCTGGAGGCTGCTAGATAGCCCTGTCTATGCAGACCTGTTGCCATATTCAGCATGCCCACTTCTGGAGCCAACAGAAAGCTGGATGGGATGCTTTTACATTATCTTGTCTCTTAAAGTCATCCTGTCCCTGCAAGAGCTTATGATAACTTCCTAGGCAGAGTCATGAACGACCTTACCTCTGTCCTGTTCTCTACAAGACTGCTTTGCTCTCAGCCTTCAAGTCTGGAGCTTCGGAGGCATGTGACAGCTTCGGAAACTGAATCACAAAGCAATGACTCACTTGCCCTGATCACGATTTAGATAACTTGACAATATCTTCCAAGAACCTAACAAAAGCTTTTGTTATTTTGAGCAGACAGCTAATACTCACTAACATGGGGAACTTGAAGTTATCCAAACTACGACTGCAAACAACACACATATCATCACAGGGCTCGTTTGACCTTAGCAGCTATTCGTTCGCATTCACAAATGTGAGATTTTGTGGCTGGACAGACTCGAAAATGGGACCTAATAAATGCAGACAATTTCCCCATTTGAAACCCACTCTTAAAATGAAATATTTCCCTTGTATGACTCTGTGAACCCAGAGTTCAGACTAATGCTTCATCTAGATGAGTGTCCCACCTTCAGCAATGGCCAGTAATGGATATTCAGGAAAAGAATGAAACATGGGGAAGGCATAGGTAGTCTGTTCTGTGAGCCACCCTCTTCGTCTCCCACAACCTGCACTAAAGTAATTTCTTAAACCAAAGACTCTATCTACACTACTGCATTGAACTGCCTGTTAACTCTCCTGGGATACTCGTGACTTACCCCGGTCAGCATCATAAATGTACACAAACTTCTGCCAGCTGTAATGTTCGATGACACTGATGAGGGCATCCTGGAGCTCTGGGCGAAGCTGGAGAACAAACTGGTTGGATGTTTCGACGGGAAAGCTGGGTGTTATGAAACAGACGTGGAGAGCCCCGCAGAAAGAAGTGAGCATGTTGACGGTCCTCCTCTCGTAAAATCCAAAGATGGCATAAACACCCTTGGAGAACTGTGAGCAGACTGGAGGAACAGAGATAAAGGGTATGAGAGCAGAAAGACTGGAAGGTTTGTCAGGGACATCGTCAAAATTCACCTTTTTCCTGAAATAAGCTGCAGCCTATCTGGACTAAAGTACTTTTCTTGAGACCTATGGGATGGGGAATGCAACCCGTGCCATATGAAAAACAGGGCTTGAGGCTATGGGATGCTTTTCCTTGAGCTTCACAGACCTGCTTTATCCCTGATAGGCAGAAGGGACATAGGAATGAGAATACACTAACTCCAGGGGTCTGCTGAAAGTTTGGGAAAAAGTGTAGGATGTGAACAAGGGATCACATGAGAAGAAAAGGGTTCACCAACCCCAGACACAGCAGATGTCTGGCCTTTAGAGCTGCTTTACTACGTTTGCAGCTAGAGCATCCTGTCACAGCCCCAGATGCATTCATGGAGCAGGAAGCAAACATCTGCATGACAGTACAGTGCTCTGTGACCAATGACTCCAGCTAACAAACTAAGACCACCCTGAGAGGGCATCAGTATTGTCATAAAACAGCTACAGCAAAGTTTGTATCTGTGCATACCAGGGTTGTGCTGGTACCTGGGGACACCTGTGTGACAATTTCTGGTTTCCTCCAAAGCTGTGACCCAGTGAGGTGGATGGAAGTGGCCCAGGAGGTCTCCCCAACTAAGCTCTGATGGTGCACATCAGGTTCTGCAGTGGATATTTGCACCTGATCTCAGCAGTCAGCAGTGTGCTGTGCAAGGAGGGCTCCCTCAAATCAAAGCCCTTCTCCAGAGAGCACTTAATGAGGTGGAGGGAGCTGCTGGAAAAATGCCTCAGGATCTCAGTGAAGCAGAGAAAGCTCACACTTCAGGTTGTAAAACTTCATCCCTGAGACAGTCAGACTCACTTAGTATTGCCCCTGTTTATGGCACATCGCAATTTAATATATCTCAATAAATCTCCAAGCTGGAGGTGGTGGCAGTGACAGCATTTTCCTCGTGTCAGGCCTCCTGGTATAGTGTGTCCTCCTGTTGCTATGACTCTTGAAGACCTTTGGCCGTGACATTTGTACTGACTCAACACCTCACACCCCACTCCCCTGTTCCCCCAACCGAGCACAGGGTGAGAAGTTGGATGTGACATTCTGGGGTCCCCTGACAAGCACTCTGCGCTGCTGGGGAATCCCTTGACCTGGTTTCTGCCAGTAGTCCTGACTGCTCTGCACATGAGGCTGGAGACAGGCTCCTGAATACGAGCCTGCTCCATCCCCAGCTGGGCTCTGACCTGAGAACCAGATCTCATGACATGGTGAGCATTTCTCCTTCCTGCTAGAAGAAGCACAGGTCTGGGGCAGCCTGGCAGGGTTACGCATCTGCTTTCCACTGCTCAGTGCCCACGATCTCAAATACCTCAGCATTCTCTTCCCCCAAAGGAATTGGTATTCCTGCGTGGCAGGACTTTTTGTGAAGCTTGAGCCGTGACAGAAATAAAACCCTCTTCTCTTTATTTTCACAGCAGTGTCACTCTTTGCAATCAGCGATTGTGTCTGTGTCAGCTGGAGTCACTGTCCTCATCATGAGACTGACACATTCAGGAAGAAAAGTAGCAGATACAGATAGAAATAGTCTGAACGTCGTTTCCATGTGACTGGACCAGTAGGTCTAATGAACACTGCGATATACCATATGTGAGAGATCAGAATATGATCTCTAGAGACCCGAGCTTCAGATTCATTGCACAATTGGAGTGACGTTCTCAGAACAGCTAAAAAATCCAGCACAATTAATAATCCAGACAACAAACTTGGCTGGCTCGTTTTTTTTTGTTGTAGGCCAGATGTGGCTTCCTTGAATTTTTATATTCTATTTGAAAATAAATCTAATAGTTTTTTTATATATTTTTTTTTTAACTTGGTGGCTCAGTCACGCTCAGGCAGCCCTCCTACACTGTTCTGAGACACTCATCAATCCCAGCATTTGAAACAGATTGCACCGGAGACGACTGGGAGAACGAACGTTCTTTGTCATTAGTATGTTTGGAAAGAACCCCAGCTCACTTTGTATTTTCAGACTAAGAGGATAATTTGGAAAAAAAGGGCTTGCAGGGGGTTGTCACCCAAGGAACAACAAAGAAGCTGTCGTGTCAATTAATCCAGAAAACTGAAAAGGGGGAGAACTGCAGCCGCCTTTTGGAGATGGAACTTAGCACAATGTAAAAGCAGTGGCTGCAAAATGCTTTAAATCTCAGGACTATTTTAAATTACAGACATGCCACATGCATTCATCCAGCAAAACAAAAACAAGTTACTGCTATTTAGTTAGTGTACAAAGAGGTAGTTGGTGCTTCTTTAGATTTGCTTTGCTCTATTAAGAAAATGCATTAATAATTACGTTCTCATTTGATTACAATCAACAAGATTGGCAAAGACCTACAAGATTATCCAGTCCAACTGTCCATCAATCACCAGTAGTTCTCACTAAACCATGTTCCTCAGTACAATGTCTAAATGTTCCTTGAACACCTCCAGGGTCAGTGACTGGGAATCCAATACTCCTAAGAATTATAAAACACAGAATCACAGAATGGTTGGGTTGCAGGGGATCTTACAGACCATCCAGTTCCAACCTTCCACTGTGGGCTGACTCGAGATGCCCAGGGCCCCATCCGTGGCCTTGGGCACCTCCAGGGATGGGGCACCCACAGCTCTGGGAAGCAATGCTAGCATCTCACCGCCCTCTAAATAAAGAATTTCTTGCTAATGTTTTGGCCTCATGTCTCCTTCTTCTAACCCGAATTTCCCCTTTTAGTTCAAAGCCACTCGCCCTTGTCCTACCACTATTAGACCATGTAAAAAGTCGGTCCCCTTCCTGCTTGTAAACTCCTCTCAGAACATACCTAGAGGAAGCAGATATTGTAAGTCATTCTTTGTTCTCCCAGAGGGGAAGAGCTTATCAGTTCACCAGCAGTCACAACAAGTCTCTGACAAATACACATCCAAAAACATTAAGAAACGTAATAGGGATAAAGTTCATACTGGGATGGAAAGTCTAACAAAATGAGCTTCTCTGGTCAACTGGCAAGGGATAACATCATGTCTTACAAACCTCATGGTAGCCTCCTGCTAACAGCGAGACAGCCAGAGGCTGGCACTTCTTACAGAGCAGAGTTGAACTCAGTCTGGTAACTAACTCAAGCAGTTGAATTTGGACAGTTCAGCTCATCCCTGTAGGCAGAAAACTGTAAGGACTGATTAAACAGCAAAATTGTATAATAAATGATGTGAGCATGAGCGAAGAGCGTTTACTTGGATGTCAATGTAGATGTTTTTGGCAGTTTGCATGTGCTATTCTTGGCCTCTGGGTTGCACAAATGGAAAGAAGGACAGATAATATTTGTTCTGGGCTGCAGCTGTACTATCATCTTACAGCAAATTTGTAGCTAATTACAGAAAGATTTCCCCTGAACAAACATTCAGGAAGTATAGTTCATAATGATTGATAACCATGACAGATACTCTTCATCCTGACCAGTTTTGTGTGATCAGTCTGGTTGGACCTCCTGCTAGGACACTCCCAGCATGTGCTGCACTGAGCATCACTGCTGCTCCATATCCCTCATGCTCCAGGCATTGGATCTCTCACTGAGGCATTCTGGGAGAGCTCCCTAGCTTTTTATCTACAGTCCCAATCCACAAACAAAATTAGGTAAATCAGAGGCATCAACCTGTCACCTGGTCATGCTGGAAGTCAGCAACAACTCCACAGTGCCTATTGCAAGCAGGTGAGATGGAGCTCCTCATATTGTTCCAAAAACACTGCTATTTACATTAAAAATAAAATAACATCATTGGATTCCCAGTACCTACTTAAAGAGTGACTGATATGATAGAATGAGAAGGAGGAGGCCTCCCTGCTCTCTCCAGGGACTGGCAGCCATTGGTGTGCCCTTGAATTCTGACAGGGAGAAACACGCATGCTTCAGTTGGGCTTGAAATCCCCACGCTCCAGGATTCCTAGTCCTATGATTTCTCTCTAATTTTTCCTTTCATATGGAAAATATTCAAGGTAAAGCTTTTAAATCCAAGAAAAGAACACCAATTTTATTGAAAGCGGGATGGGACACCTGCCTAGCAGCTGAAGACAGGCAGCACTGGCGACCTTTGCAAATACTTTTAAGAAAAAAAACAAAACATGTCCAGTACTTTAAATTGCACATTTTCTGTGCAGAAAAGGAAAGGGAAGAGATGTTTAGAGTCTATATAAATTTTGAGGAGACTTTATTTAGCAAAAGATCTCAAGCAGTCAGGAAAAAAGGAGGTGCACAAGACTGATTTCTACATTCAGGAGGGATGGGGATGTTTTGGAACCAAAGGTTTGATCTGAGTCCCTTGAGAAGCTGATGACAGATACGATGGAACTTTTATTTGGATTTGGATAAAAGCAGAAGGGAAGCCAAAAGGTTTCTTTCAGAAACAGTTACCACAAAGAGAGGCTGCACAGACGGATGGAAATTAGGATTTGGTTTCTAAGAGTGAGAACTGTGCAATTCTGCTGAGAATCTGCAAACAGGAGTGCAGAACGAGAGCTGCTCTTTGTGGGCACAGCTGGAGAAGCCTGGTAGGAGATCTCGCGACTGCTCGTCTGCCATTTCCTATGGAAGCAGAATTTTCACCATTTCACTGGGTTTAAGACTAGGGGGGGACATTAGATCATTCCTACTGACTTTTTACGTCTCACGGACCATTAAGTTTCACCAAGTTACCCCTGAAGGGAGCCAATAATGTAGTTTAGTTGAAGGCATTTAAGCTCTCAGGGGACTCAACTGCTGTGTGCTTCTGTCAGAGAACAGGAATAGCAGAGACAGTGTTAACTCCCAAAGCAACAACGGCAGTAAAAAAAAGCAGATTAGATTAAATGTCCCCAGATGTTCTCCACAAACAGTTCGTGCTCTCTGTTGCAGAAAGAGACAAAAATCCCAGCTGGTCCCCCTCAGAGCCCTTCCCAAGCCTAGAGGATGT